CATACTCATCAAGGCTCCAAAACTCCCTGGGACACAGAGGCAACTAGACATATCATCCGCCAGACAGAGATGGACCCTGATGTCCAACATAGACTGCACATACATGCCAGGGGCACATACCTGCCACACACATGTCCAGCCAGCCCGCAGTAATGCAGAGGGCTGTCAGCCCTCCAAACAAACACAGGGCAGGGGGCACACAGCAAATCCACAGACACGGGAGTGCAAGACACCCTGCAACATACACTCGCAGGCATGGTGAAAGGATTCGTTCATATCGTAGGAATCACATGGGCTACATGCCACTTGGAAACTAAGTTCTTTGCAGCACACACACACACACACACACACACACACACACACACACACACTTCACAATGTGATGAAAAAGAGGCAAATACTGACCTCACACACATAACCACCACACACAGAAACACGAGGCCCACACTCAACACGCTCACTTAACGCATCCTCTATAACACAGACCATTGTACTAGACAAAATGTCAACACATACCCAGGAGAGGACATCTAAACTTGTAGCATTCATACCACTGTCATCTGACAAAAATATTAGAGATACTCCTCTGCCACTGTCTACAGCCTCCACCAAGTGACACACACACGGGACACACAGAGACACAGTGACACAGCCTGTAACGTGTGTGTGTTCTACAAAGCTGGCTGGATACCAAGACATTGACCTCAACACACACACACACACACACACACACACACACACCATAGCCTGATATGCAGACACACAGAAAAGACATGGGAAGGCACACTCAGTCCATAGGTGGACAGACACTAAGACAAACATCTACAGCATGGTCAACGAAGCCTTGGGGTGTGCATACCCCTGAAATACACCCAGATGTGTTGAGATGGTGCTGGAAGTCATCTGAGTTCTGTGATCCAGAAAAGCAGGAGGTGTAGCATTCACAATATCCTGGCCAGTCCCCAGCATCACCCAAAACAAGCAGCAACAACAAAAGCAAGTGAGGAGGAGGGAGAAGCAAGCTGTTGGGGATGAGGCACCAGGCCTCCCTATGTTCGTGAAGACTCACTGGACCATGGACCATCTTAGGCCCTAAACTCACAGAAGTCTCTCTGTAGTTGCATGGCTGCTGGGAAGGGTGCAGAGTGTCGATGGGTACAGTGACCCTGGAAGTGCTTGATGCACACAGCAACATGGGAAACACTCCAGGGGCTTTTTTTCTTTTTCAAACAGCATTTCTTGTAGCCCAGGCTAGCCTTGAACAAGCTTTGTAGCTTAAGGATGGCTTGAGCCTCTGATACCCTATCCTCCAAGTGCTGTGTGAAACATATTTTATTTATGTCCTGAGATCAGAGGGCAGAGCTAACCACTAGTTAACCATAGAGGCCAGGCAGTGGTGGTCCACACTTTTTTTTTTTTTTTTTTTTTTTTTTGGTTTTTCGAGACAGGGTTTCTCTGTGTAGCTTTGCGCCTTTCCTGGAACTCACTTGGTAGTCCAGGCTGGCCTCGAACTCACAGAGATCCGCCTGGCTCTGCCTCCCGAGTGCTGGGATTAAAGGCGTGCGCCACCACCGCCCGGCAGGTGGTCCACACTTTTAATCCCGGAACTTGGGAGGAGGAAGCAGGAAGATCTGGAGTTCAAGATCACCCTGGACTGTACAAGATTGATCCAGTCTAAAAGAGAAACAGAGCTGGGCAGTGGTAGTTCATGCCTTTAATCCCAGCACATGGGGGGCTCAAGCCTTTAATTCGAGAACTAGGGAGGTGGAGACAGGAATATAAGGTGGATGGAGACAGGATCCCGCTCCATTCAGTCTGAGGATTCATAGAGCCAGGATCTTCCCTATTCAGTCTGAGATAGGATCACCCATTTGGTCTGAGATTTCATAGAGGTGAGAAGTCTCTGGCGGCTGACTGCTCTGCTTCTCTGATCTTTCACCCTCAGTGTCTGACTCTGGGTTTTTATTGTTAAGACTAATGTGGTTCACACTTCACCCAAGTGCTGGGATTATAAGTGTTCAGCACCATGCCTGATTTATACGATGCTGGGTATTGAACTTTGTTCACTCTACCAGCTAAGCTATGTTCTTAACATCGCCAGTGGCTTCACAATGTTTATTTTGTGTGTACGAGTGTTTGCCTGCTGCCTGTAGAAGCTAGAAGAGAGTACTGGATCCCTTGGAACTGGAGTTGCTGATGGCTGTGAGCTACCATGAGGGTGCTGGGTATCAAACCCAGGTGCTCTGCAAGATCAGCGGGAGCTCTTAACTGAAAGACAGGGTCTCTCTACATAGCCCTTGCTGTCCTGGAACTCTCCGTGTAGACTAGGCTGGCCTCAAACTCACAGAGACACACTTGTCTCTGCCTCCTGAGAGCTGGGATTAAAGGTGTACACCACTACATTCAGCTTCCAGTGGCTTTTTACTACTGATTTTATGTACACTTTGAGAAGAAAGTGCTTAACGCATTCATTCTAGAGGCATTTGGTATTTCAATTACACTGCTGTCCCTGGTGTGGGCAGGATACCCTTGTTATTTTAAGACCAAAGACGGGACCTCTTGGAACACTTGGAAGGCCATTGTTAGTAAGGTAGAAGTATTCTTCTGGTGCCATCTAGTGGTCAAGTCCCACATCTGGAGCCAGAACAAGAGCGTGTCCTTAACACAGCCCTAGTGGAAAGTTGTTTGCACTGCTGGGACCGGCAGTGAGGTGGGGCCCAGGTGCAGGTTTTCCACGGGCATATCCAGCGAGGGGAGCTCGAAGAACACTGTAACATGAGGCGAGGCTGGGCTGGTGGGGTACCAGCGGCAAGGACAGGAAGCCGGTGTGAGGGTTTCGATGCCCCCTTTGAGGGCACCTCCCGGACTCACAGACCTTCCACTAGGCCTATATATATATATATTTTACTTTATAATATATATATATATATATTTTACTTTAAATATAATATATATCTTATATATATATTATATATAAATAAAATATATTTATTATATATATTTATATATATATTATATATAAATAAAATATATATATATTTTACTTTAAAAAAAGATTTACTATTTTTTATGTATGTGTCTGAGCATTGGGATCAGATGAGGGTGTTGATTGACAGCCCAGAGTGGGTTGTTTTGTTGTTGTTGTTGTTGTTTGGGTTTTTTTGTTTTGTTTTGTTTTTCCCCAGTTAAATGCTTTCTTTAATAAGAGTTGCTTTGGTCACGGTGTTCCGTCATAGCAATAGAACATCGACTAAGACGTCTTCACACTCTGTAAATCATAGCATGGTACTGGCAAAATAAAAACATGTCTGGATTAAAGAAAATGAAACGGAGAGGGGGTGTGATAAGAAAGAAACCTCTAGAATCCTGAGTCCAGGTTTTTCTGACTGGTGCAGCTGGTGGTGACTTCAGGGTCACCCTTCATGTCTAGGTTTGGTAGAGGAGAATGGCACACCGGAGCAGCCTGGCTGGGCCTGGGGATTGGCAACACTTGCATGCAGCTTCAGGTTAGTTCTTGGCTGGAATCCACTTGGGATCCCTTCACAAAGGCCGTGCAGGCACAGCTGACCACCATCCTCTTAGGACACGCTGTCATCGGGGCTAATAACTGCATTCAGTGGAATGTGTCTGGAGTCCGGAGCACTCATCTCCCTCCAGAAGCCTGAGGAATTCCAACCCATAGGAGATTTCCAGAAACCATCTGACATACCTGTCTGTGAAGTAGATCTGTCCCTCCCCAGCTGCTAGACTGAAAGATAGCACTTTCCACACATCAAAAGTCCAGGCAAGCCGGGCGGTGGTGGCGCACGCCTTTAATCCCAGCACTCGGGAGGCAGAGGCAGGCGGATCTCTGTGAGTTCGAGGCCAGCCTGGGCTACCAAGTGAGTTCCAGGAAAGGCGCAAAGCTACACAGAGAAACCCTGTCTCGAAAAACCAACCAACCAACCAAACAAACAAAAAAGTCCAGGCAAGATGGCGAGGATCCTGCTCCTGCACCAGGGAAGAGGGACAACCCCGGGGGACAAGACTTGAAGGCAGCCACCTTCCTCCTCGAGCTATGCTCTCCCCTTCATCCACTGTCCATCAGCCCAGTACTGACCATTCATCACACTCGGCCATTTTTCTTCCTTTTATGGAACAGTCACCATTCAGGAAGTTTCTTATTTGTAAACTTAAGTAATTTTTATAAACTAAAATCCACTCGCTGCTTCAAACTTCGTCATTCTGTATTATAGTTACAGTGACTGTCCCTAATCCAAAGTTGTGGAAATACTCTCTATTATTAGATTTAGATTAAGAAGTGTTTAAGTCTATAGAGGTCCAGATTCTGGCATGGTTGCCTTCACCTGGGAGACCCGAAGGAGAGTGTGTTCCCTGTCTGGTGGTCCTGGGGGCCACTGGTGTGTTTCCCCATGGGTGCTCTCCTCTCTTTCGTCTTTGTATCTGCCATCATGTCAGCTGCTTCTTTCTCCGAGAGACCTCCATTTCACTTGGAGAAGAGCCTCTGGCATCAGATTTAGGTCCCATCACAAGAATCCAGGATGAATGAAACCCCTCCCACCCACCCACACCCCCCCCCACCACTCCCAGGTCCTAAATATATCCCCAAGCATGTGTTCTAACGGTTAGGGCCTATCTTACTGCATTCCTGCAGCATGTGGACCATCGCTCTTGTGACCTATTTTTTGTATTATGTATATAAATCAGAACATTATGTTTTGCACATAAACCTTGAATTTGATGAAATACATATTTTACAAGTAGGAAATAACATGGCAAGAGAGGATGGCTTGGCCATGTTGCAGGACGGCAGGGGAAGTGCAATGACATCGGTTTGCTTTTCTTTCGGTCTGCTTTTGTCTTCTTGTTGTTGTTTTGAACATAAAAACAGGTTATAATTCCAAAGTCCAGAGTTATCTGAAACTGGAAAATATTTTCTCTGTAGAAAATAGTAAAAATAATAACATTTCCCAAAAAGCCCTTTTAAGCCAAATAATAGCTGAATTATATATATATATTTATTAGATTCTGGGATACAGAAGAAACGTATCTTCATCTGTTCAGAGAGCTATGTTTTACTTAAGTTGTATAAGTGAGATTCCTATTCATCTTCCCCTTCACTGTTTGATTTACGGCAGACATTTTTCTGTAGGCTAATCCATAATCTAAAAAGATTTTAGCCTCCCCTCCTAAAAGTACAGCCAGCATATCCTTTCATCAGCTTGATACAGTACAAATTCTTATCCTAACAGTGAAATGTTTCACTTAAGCATGCCCAGTGATTGGTCAAACCCAAAATTTATTATAAGCCACAGTCTTCCTATGGTCCTCCCTGCTAGGTAAGCCTCCCTGGATCTGTGGTTTGCAGTCTGATTGTCCTTTGCTTTATATCTAGTATCCACTTATGAGTGAGTACATGCCATGTTTGTCCTTCTGAGTCTGGGTTACCTCACTCGGGATGATATTTTCTAGTTCCATCCATTTGCCTGCAAATTTCATGATGTCATTGTTTTTCTCTGCTGAGTAGTACTCCATTGTGTATATGTACCACATTTTCTTTATCCATTCTTCAGCTGGTGGGCATGTAGGTTGTTTCCAGGTTCTGGCTATTATGAATAATGCTGCTATGAACATAGCTGAGCATGTATCTTTGTGGTATGATTGAGCATTCCTTGGGTATATGCCCAAGAGGGGTAGGGCTGGGTCTTGAGGTAGATCAATTCCTAATTTTCTGAGAAACTGCCATACTGATTTCCACAGTGGTTGTACAAGTTTGTACTCCCACCAACAGTGGAGGAGTGTTCCCCTTGCTCCGCATCCTCTCCAACATAGACTGTCATCAGTGTTTTTGATCTTAGCCATTCTGACAGGTGTAAGGGGGTATCTCAGAGTGGTCTTGATTTGCATTTCTCTATGACTAAGGATGTTGAGCATTTCCTTAAATGTCTTTCAGCCATTTGAGATTCTCTCTCTCTCTCTCTCTCTCTCTCTCTCTCTCTCTCTCTCTCTCTCTCTCTCTCTCTTACTCCTGGATCTCACTCTGTAGACCAGGCTGGCCTTGGACTCACAGAGATCCACCTGGCTCTGTCTCCTGAGTGCTGGGATTAAAGGTGTGTGCCACCACCGCCAGGCCCATTTGAGATTCTTATTTTGAGAATTCTCTGTTTAGCTCTGTAGCCCATTTTTTAATTGGATTGTTCAGTATTTTGATGTCTAGTTTCTTGAGTTCTTTATATATTCTGGAGATCAGCCCTCTGTCAGATGTGAGGTTGGTGAAGATCTTTTCCCATTCTGTAGGCTGTCATTTTGTCTTATTGACCATGTCTTTGCCCTACAAAAGCTTCTCAGTTTCAAGAGGCCTCATTTATTAATTGTTGCTCTTAGTGTCTGTGCTACTGGTGTTATATTAGGAAGTGATCTCCTGTGCCAATGCGTTCAAGAAGACTTCCTACTTTCTCTTCTATCAAGTTTAGTGTAACTGGATTTATGTTGAGGTCTTTGATCCACTTGGACTTGAGTTTTGTGCATTGTGACAGATATGGATCTATTTGTAATCTTCTACATGTTGACATCCAGTTATGCCAGCACCATTTGTTGAAGATACTTTCTTTTTTCCATTGTGTAGTTTTGGCTTCTTCATCAAAAATCAGGTCTTCATATGTGCGGATTAATTTCAGGGTCTTCAATTCGATTCCATTGGTCCATATGTTGGTTTTTATGCCAGTACCAAGCTGTTTTTATTATTATAGCTCTATAGTAGAGCTTGAGGTCAGGGATGGTGATGCCTCCAGAGGTTGCTTTATTATACAAGATTTTTTTAGCTATCCTGGGTTTTTTGTTTTTCCATATGAAATTGAGTATTGTTCTTTCCAGGTCTGTGAAGAATTATGTTGGGATTTTGATGGGGATTGCATTGAATCTGTAGATTGCTTTTGGTAAGATTGCCATTTTTACTATGTTAATCCTACCTATCCATGAGCATGGGAGATCCTTCCATTTTCTGATATCTTCTTCAATTTCTTTCTTTAGAGATTTAAAGTTCTTATCAAACAGGTCCTTCACTTGTTTAGTTAGTGTTACCCCAAGGTATTTTATATTATTTGTGGCTATTGTAAAGGGTGAGGTTTCTCTGATTTCTTTCTCAGTCCTTTTATTATTTGTGTATAGGAGGGCTACTGATTTTTTTTTAGTTGATCTTGGATCCTGCCACTTTACTGAAGGAGTTTATCAGTTGTAGGAGTTCCCTGGTAGAATTTTTGGGGTCACTTATGTATACTATCATATCGTCTGTAAATAGTGAAAGTTTGACTTCTTCCTTTCCAATTTGTACCCCTTTGATCTCCTTTTGTTGTCTTCTTGCTCTAGCTAGAACTTCAAGTACTATACTGAATAAATATGGGGAGAACGGGCAGCCTTGTCTTGTTCCTGATTTTAGTGGAATCGCTTTGAGTTTCTCTCCATTTAATTTGATGGTGACTGTTGGCTTGCTGTAAATTGCCTTTATTATGTTTAGGAATGTTCCTTGTATTCCTGATCTCTCCAAGACCTTTATTATGAAGGGGTGTTCGATTTTGTCAAAGGCGTCTTCAGCATCTAATGAGATGATCATGTGGTTTTTTTCTTTCAGTTTGTTTCAAATCTTACATTGACAGATTTTCGTATGTTGAACCAAACTTGCATCCCTGGTATGAAGCTCACTTGGTCATAGTGGATAATTTTTTTGATATGTTCTTGGATTTGGTTGCCAATATTTTGTTGAGTATTTTTGCATCAATGTTCATGAGGGAGATTGGTCTGTAATTCTCTTTCTTTGTTGCATCTTTGTGTGGTTTGGGTATCAGGGTAACTGTAGCTTCATAAAAAGAGTTTGGTAATGCTCCTTCTGTTTCTATTGTGTGGAACAATTTGAAGAATATTGGAATTAGCTCCTTTGAAAATCTGGTAGAATTCGGCGCTGAAACTATCTGGTCCTGGGCTTTTTTTGGTTGGGAGACTTTTAATGACTGTTTCTATTTCCTTAGGGGTTATTGGTCTATTTAAATAGTTTATCTGGTTTTGATTTAACTTTGGTATGTGGTACCTATCCAGAAAATTTTCCATTTCTTTCAGATTTTCCAATTTTGTGAAGTACAGGTTTTTGAAGTATGACCTGATGATTCTCTGGATTTCCTCATTGTCTGTTGTTATGTTTCCCTTTTCATTTCTGATTTTGATTTGGATGCTCTCTCTCTTCCTTTTGGTTAATTTGGCTAGGGGTTTGTCTATCTTGTTGATTGTTTCGAAGAACCAACTCTTTGTTTTGTTGATTCTTTATATTGTTCTCTTTGTTTCTATTTCATTGATTTCATCCCTCAATTTGATTATTTCCTGGCATCTGGAAACTAACTCCTGGGTTAGTTTGTTTCTTTTTGTTCTGGAGCTTTCAGATGTGGCTGTTAAGTCACTAGTCTGATTTCTCCAACTTCTTTATGTGTGCATTTAGTGCTATGAATTTTCCTCTTAGTACTGCTTTCACAGTGTCCCATAAGTTTGGGTATGTTGTACTTTCATATTCATTGAATTCTAGGAAATCTTTAATTTCTTTCTTTATTTCTTCCTTGACCCATTGGTGATTCAGTTGAGCATTATTCAGTTTCCATGAGATTGTAGGCTTTCTATAGTTTTTGTTGTTGTTGAAGTCTAACTTTAAGGCATGGTGGTCCAATAAAATACAAGAGGTTATTCCAATGTTTTTGTATTTGTTGAAATTTGCTTTGTGACTGAGCATGTGGCCAATTTTCGAGAAGGTTCCGTGGGGTGCTGAGAAGAAAATATATTCTTTTGTGTTAGGGTGGAATGTTCTGTAGATATCTATTAAGTCCATTTGAGTCATAACATCTGTTAGGTCCTTTATTTCTCTGTTAAGTTTCAGTCTGGTAGATCTGTCCATTTATGAGAGTAGGGTGTTGAAATCTCCCACTACTAGTGTGTGGGGTTTGATGTGCAATTTAAGCTTTAGTAATGTTTCTTTTATGAATGTGGGTGCCCTTGTATTTGGGCCATAAATGTTCAGAATTGAGACTTCATCTTGGTGGATTTTTCCTGTGATAAATATGTAATGTCCTTCCTGATCTCTTTCGATTGATTTTAGTTTGAAGTCTATTTTATTAGATATTAGGATAGCTACACCAGCTTGCTTCTTAGGTCCATTTGATTAGAAAGCCTTTTCCCAGCCCTTTATTCTGAGGTGGTGTCTGTCTTTGAAGTTAAGGTGTGTTTCTTGTATGCAGCAGAAGGATGAATCCTGTTTTCATATCCATTCTGTTAGCCTGTGTCTTTTTATAGGTGAATTGAGACCATTGATATTGATGGATATTAATGACTGGTGATTGCTAATTACTGTTGTTTTTTGGTGGTAGTGTTGTGTTTCCCTTCTTTGGTATTTGTTGGTGTGGGATTATCTATTGCCTGGTTTTTCATGGGTGTGTCTAATTTGGATTTGGATTTTTTCCTTCTAGTGCTTTCTGTAGGGCTGGATTTGTGGATAGGTGTTGTTTAAATCTGGTTTTATCATGGAATATTTTGTTTACTCCATCTATGGTGATTGAGAGTTTTGCTGGGTATAATAGTCTGGGTTGGCATCCGTGGTTTCTTAGTGTCTGCATAACATTTGTCCAGGACCTTCTAGCTTTCATAGTCTCTATTGAGAAGTTGGGTGTTTTTCTGATGGGTTTGCCTTTATATGTTACTTGGTCTTTTTCCTTTGTGGCTCTTAATATTTTTTCTTTGTTCTGTATGTTTAGTGTTTTGATTATTATGTGGCGAGGGGACTTTTTGTTTGCATCCAGCCTATTTGGTGTTCTGTAAGCTTCTTGTATCTTCATAGGCATTTCTTTCTTTAGGTTAGAAAAGTTTTCTTCTATGATTTTGTTGAATATATTTTTTGTCCCTTTGAGTTGGTATTCTTCTCCTTCTTCTATCCCTATTATTCTCAGGTTTGGTCTTTTCATGGTGTCCCAATTTTCTTGGACGTTTTGTGTTACGACTTTTTTGGCTTTAGTGTTTTCTTTGACTGACGAATATTTTCTCTATTGTGTCTTCAATGTCAGGGATTCTCTGTTCCATCTCTTTCATTCTGTTGGTTATGCTTGCATCTGTAGTTCCTGTTCGTTTAGTCAGATTTTCTATTTCCAGCATTCCCTCAGTTTATGTCTTCTTTATTGTCTCTATTTCAATTTTCAAATCTTGAACTGTTTCCTTCATCTGTTCAATTGCTTTTTCTTGGCTTTCTTTGATTTCTTCCAATTTTTTTGTTTGTTTTTTCTTCTGTTTCTTTAAAGGAATTTTTAATTTCCTCTTTAAGGGAGTTTTTCATTTCCTCTTTGAGGACATCTATCATCTTCTTAAAGTTATTTTTAGGATTGATTTCTTCTGCTTCTTCAGCATTGGTATGTTCAGGTCTTGCAGGTGTAGAATCACTAGGTTCTGATGTGGTCATATAGGTCTTTATGTTGTTGCCTGTATTTTTGCATTGGTGTCTACTCATCTCTTCCTTGGCTCGGTGCAGGCGGTGTCTGTGTCTGAGGTTGCCTCTCTTTTTCCAATTGGTAGTCTCACTCCACTGGGAGTTCTTGGTCGAATCAGTGCTGTTGGGCTCTGTTTCTCTGGGAGCAGCTTAGTCCACTTGGTCTTAGTAGGTTCTGTCTCAGGGAGCAGTTATTCCCAACTGGTGCAGGGTGGGCTTATGGCTCCAGTGGTTGTTGTGTTCGCAGGGGCTGGTTTTTTTGTGAGGGAGCAGGGAAAGGTAGCTGCCTGGTCCCTGGGGCTCCAATGACTGGGGCCTAGGGGCTAGAGACCTGGTCTGCCAGTCCAGAGATGGGGGCTTACCTGTTCCCAGTTGGTGTAGGGTGGTGGGCTTATGACTCTGGTGATCTGGTTTGGTGGCTGGGCGGCGCCTTCTTTTGTGTTCTCAGGTCACGTTTTGCTCATTTGTCAACTCCTCAGCTAATCTTGTTTCCTCAGACTGCAGGCTGCAGGCTTCTGAAACCTCTCCCAAATGGATCTCAGCTGAACAGGTTAATCGGCAGGGCAATCTCACCAACGCCTCCAAGTTGTAGGATGGGCAGCTGGGTCCGGGGTTGGTCTCAGGCAGGATGCTCAGGCCCGTTCTCCCAAACAAATTTTTTAAAAAAAGGACTATGATAAAAAATAAAATCTAGGCCGGGCGGTGGTGGCGCACGCCTTTAATCCCAGCACTCGGGAGGCAGAGGCAGGCAGATCTCTGTGAGTTCGAGGCCAGCCTGGGCTACCAAGTGAGTTCCAGGACAGGCGCAAAGCTACACAGAGAAACCCTGTCTCGAAAAACCAAAAAAAAATAAAAATAAAAATAAATAAATAAATAAAATCTAGCCGGGAGGTGGTGGCACACGCCTTTAATCCCAACACTCGGGAGGCAGAGGCAGGAGGATCTCTGTGAGTTCAACGCCAGCCTAGTCTCCAAAGCGAGTTCCAGGAAAAGCGCAAAGCTACACAGAGAAACCCTGTCTTGAAAAACCTAAATAAATAAATAAATAAATAAATAAATAAATAAATAAATAAATAAATAAATAAAAATCTGAGGCTGGGGCAATAGTTCAGCAGTTAAGAATACTTGCTGCTCTTCTGAAGGGTCCAAGGTCAGTTCCCAGCATCTATACTGGGCGGTTCACAGTCCCAGTTCCTGGGGACCCAACACCCTCTTATGACCTCCATAGCTGCCTGTACTCACAGCCACTTGCACTCAGGTGCACAGAAACACATACACATAATTAAAAATAAAAATCTTGGGCTGCAGAGATGGCTCAGGGGTTAGGAACACTGGGTGTTCTTCCAGAGGACCTGGGTTCAATTCCCAGCACCCACATGGCAGCTCACAACTGTCTGTAACTCCAGTTCCAGGGGATCTGACACCTTCACACTAGTGTACATAAAATAAAGTTAAATAAATAATTAAAAAAATAAAATAAAAATCTTGCTGGGCAATGGCAATGCACGCCTTTAATCCCAGCACTTAGGAGGCAGAGGCAGGTGGATCTCTGTGAGTTCAAGGCAAGCCTGGTCTACAGAGTGAGTTCCAGGACAGCCAGGGCTACACAGAGAAACCCTTCCTTGGAAAAAAAAGAAAAAGAAAAATAGATGTTCTAATAATGAATAACAAATAAAGCCTAAATTATGTTTATCTTTTGCCATTGCAGTGGTAAAATATGACTTCCTATGTGTTATGGAGGAAGGGACCCCCAGTTGTCAAGATGTGGCCCTAAGGACCTACATGAAACACCAGCATAGACATCCGGAGAATAGTATATTCTGAACAAAGTGCCTCTGGCCTTCCAACTTTGAATAGTTCCCCTTCCAGGGCAGGCAGCAGATGTTTGTACCTGATCAACACAGGGACTGGGCAACCTCCTCTCCTCCCTCCCTATCTCCTCTCTCCTCAAATGCCAAGCTCCAGGTTCCATGAGAGACTGTGTTTCAAAAAATAAAGAAATAAAGAAGGTGGGGGACCAGGGCTGGCCCAGTGGGTAGCAGTAGTAGCCTCGCAAGCCTCACAAACCGAGTTCAACCCCCAGGACCCATGTAAAAAGCTGGGCATGGTGGCACAAGTCTGTAATTCCAGCATTCTCTTTTTTTGAGAATTTCACCGTTCTTTTTGTTTGTTTGTTTTGTTTCTCCAGACAGTGTTTTCTGTGTAGGCCTGGCTGTCCTGGAACTCACTCTGTAGGCCTGGCTGTCCTGGAACTCACTCTGTAGGCCTGGCTGTCCTGGAACTCACTCTGTAGGCCTGGCTGTCCTGGAACTTGGTATCTGCCTGCTTCTGCTTCCCCAATGCTGGGATTAAAGATGTGCACCTCCACAGCCCGGCTGAATTTCAGCATCCTTTGGGTGATGCTGGAGGTAGATTATACAGAACAGCAGCAACAGACTCCTAGAAGTTGTCCTCAGACCTCCATGTGCCTGAATGACAGAGCACACACTGTCCCTATGCAAATATTTTAGGATTTTTTATTTTAGTGTGTGTGTGTGTGTGTGTGTGTGTGTGTCTGTGTGCATCTGGGTGTGGATATGTACAAATGCATCGAGGTGCCCTTGGAGATCAGAGGAGATCAGCAGCTGGAGCTACAGGCTGAGGCGAGTGCTGTGTCCTCTGGGAAAACGGTCTCTCCAGTCCACAAGTAAACATTTTAAAAAATGGTGAGATCAATAGAGAAAGACCCCCAACCATCAACCTCCAGCCTCCACAAATGTGTGGGCACACATGGCAGGCATGTGCACACACACATACACATATACACACACATGCGCACACACATACACTCCTGCAACATGAATAAAGGATCAACTATACTCAGAGTAATTTCAGTGTTCACGGGGAACACAGCAGAAGGCAGCCCATGAGAGTGTAAGTGGCAAACTGACCACAGATTCCGGCTGTTCAGTCTTTTCTCCAGTGCTGGGCCTGAGCCCATGCCGGGCAAGTTCTTTACCGCTCAGATACGTCTCACTTTCAGTTCCTGTTTTTTTAAAGCTGAGCATGGCGGTGCACACCTGAAATCCAGCATGTGGGAGGATCAGGAGTTTGCAGCTGGTCTAGACAACTCCGGACTTTCTTTCCCTGGCTTGCTCTACCATTGAGCTACACCTCTGTATACTGCCTCTCCACCCACCTTTTCACAGAAAGATTTATTAGCTGGGTGTGGTAGCACACACCTTTAATCCCAGCCTCCAGAGGCAGAGGCAGGCTGGTCTACCAAGTGACCTCCAGGGCAGCCAGTGCTACCCAAAGTCCCTGTCTCAAAAGACTAAACCAGACAGGTACAGTCTGCAGGCTGGGAAAGTGACTGGGCTGGACAGAGCTTGTTTAGCATGCATGAAGCCTGGATTCAACCCCTGGCATGGCATAACTAGGTGTGGTGGCTCACACATGCCTGTCACCTCAGTACGTGAGAGGCTGAGACAAGAGGACTGAATAGGATCTTCAAGGGCCTTCTGTACAGACCAGCCTAGGCTGCGTGAAACACTGTCCCCCTCAACCCTCGTCTTGGTGACCGCTGGCCCCAAGGAAGGCACGGTGTTGAGATGACTTCAGATCTCTTCTGCGCTTGTCCCTTCCGGGCGGGGGAGGGGGGGACGGAGGGGGGAACTTTATCTAGTAGGAGGGAATCAAGGCCAGGCCTTTGAGGGACAGCAGTCTGGTTCTGAGAGCCTAGAGAGTTGACGAATTACTCGGGTAATTGGGGAAATACCTTGTTAGTGTCACTCTGATTGACAGGTTTGTTCTCCAGAGGGTAGTTTCTACCGGCTGGAGGCTGTACCGCACACAAGAGCTTTGCTATACCCAAGGTGTTTATGGAGTCCGTGGCAGTCGCCTGGGTGTTCCCTGCACCTAGCAGGCCTCTAGGCCAGGAGTAGGTGCTCAGCAGGCGCCTATTGAGCTGGATGGTGAAAGGTTTCTGGGGTGTGAGCTCCAGCGGAAAGCCTCCCCCGCACTCGCTGCGCTCCGAAGCCTTCTCTCTGGAGTGAACCTTCTGGTGTTTGATAAGACAGTGGTTCTGGTTGAAGGCCTTGCCACGCTGGGGGCATCTGTAAGGCTTCTCGCCGGTGTGGACACGCTGGTGTACGATGAGCGATGAGTGGCAGCTGAAGGCCTTCCAGCACCTGCTGCAGTCAAGGGCTTCTTGCCCGTGTGGACGCGCTGGTGCACCATGAGGTAGGAGTGCGAGCCAAAGGCCTTGCCGCACTCCCCGCACTTGAAGGGCCTGTCGCCGCTGCGGATCTTCTCGTGCACGGCGAGCGAAGAGCGGCAGCTGAAGGCCTTGCCGCACCCGCACTTGCAGGGCCTGTCGCCGGTGTGGACGCGGAGGTGGCGAGTGAGGTGGGTGCGCTGGTGGAAGGCCTTCCCGCACTCGCTGCAGGCGGACGGCCTCTCCCCCGTGTGCACTCTGCGCTGCATGCCGAGCGGCGAGCTGCAGCTGAAGGCCTTCTCACAGGCGCCACACTCGTAGGGCCTCTCGCCCGTGTGGCTGCGGTGGTGCACGTTGAGAGACGAGTGGCAGCTGAAAGCCTTGCCACACTCACCGCAGAAAAGGGGCTTCTCGCCGCCGCCGCCCGTGTGGCGGCGCTGGTGCTCCACGAGGTTGGTGCCCCAGGGGAAGGCCTTGTCGCCCTGGTGGCACTTAAAGGCCTTTTCGCGGCTGTGCGGGCGCCAGTGCAGCGCCAGGGCCGAGCTCTCCAGGAATACCTTCCCACCCTGGCTGCATGCAAACATGCTCTCCTCGGTGTCAGCGTCCACCCAAGGCTGCCGGTGCTGTCCTCACGGTAAGCGTCCTGACGGTAAGCGCAGGTGAGTGTTCTGTGGGAGTGCCTTGCTGGGAGGAGAAAGGGCGCGCCAGCGGAGAGGCGGACGGCCTCTCCCCCGTGTGCACTCTGCGCTGCATGCCGAGACCCGTGACTCTCTTTTATGCTGTCCCCATTGGCAGTAGCCTTGCTCCCTAACACGGTCCCGGCATTACCCAAGCTGGCTCTCATCCGACCTGGCCTCTTCTGAGACAGCCCTGTTTTGTAAACACCCTCCTCCATCACCTCAGGCTCCGCCTTCCACTCTGTAAAAGATTGAAGTGGAATTTTCTGTGGGTGAGCATAAGCATGGCCCTGGAGCTCAGACTGGGTTGCTGACCTGGAGATGCAGGTAAACCAGAAATGGAGTAGAAATCACAACCACCCCGAAGTCCAAAGGCACAAAAGCAGAGTGACAAAAAGGGTTGCTCAAAGGGACTCCCAACTGAAGACTCCGCCAGGCTTCCGATGAATCCCCTGGGGCCTGAGAGGAGGGCACATCTCAGAGGTCTGGGGATCAGGAGCTAATTCAGCCATGGAAACACCCACCGACAGACTGCACTGGCATAAACGCAAACATCTGCCGAGTCTCAAGGGAAAGAGGCCTGCCACCCCACCCTCTTTAGGGGTCCTCAGAACAGCTGGAGCTGCTGAACACATCCAAGTGCAGCAAGCCTCTTGAGGGATTTCCCTCCTGGGGTATCCTCCGTGGAGGAGGGGAGCCCCCAACCCCATTTCCTTACCACTGACCCCTGCACAGCGCCCTGTGTCTGACTGCCAGGAGCAGCTCCAGCTTTCTCTGACCTAGACCCTTCTCTCTGTTCTGCAGGAGTTTAGTTTGAGATGTAACAGTGTCTCTCAAAAAGATACAAGAAGCAGGCCTTGCATGGTGGCGCACACCTCTAATCCCACTACTTGGGAGGCAGAGGCAGGAGAATCTCTGTGAGTTCGAGGTCAGTCTGGTCTAGATAATGAGTACCAGGAGAAACCCTGTCTCTAAAAACCAAAAAAGGGAGTAATTTTGGTAAAGAAAGCAGAAGCAGCTGCGGCCAGAAACAACACCCAGGCCTAGGCTGTGGCTACCGGTACCGAGGCTGCTTGGGAACTGGGGCTGTGAAGACAGAGGCCCACCTGACCTCTGTACCCTCCCACCTGGGCACAGCACTCTCGCCCAGAACACATAAATTTATTTATTTGTTTGTTTGTTTTTTGTTTGTTTGTTTATACCATTTTTGGTCCCTTTTTCACAAAAATGTGTTTCTCAAGCTTCCAAGGCTTGAGAACATAGTTAATGTTCACTGTCTATTCAATTAAGATGAAATGAATTCATTCACTTGTTCATTAAACAAATTTAAAAGAGAAATCAGTAAAAAAGAAAATGTTTGAGAGCTTATAATATATTCTAGTAGTCGGGAGGTTGAAGCAGGAGGATCACTGAGTTTGAGGCAAGCTTGGGCCACACAGTGAGTTCAAGGCCAGAGTGAGATCCTGCCTCAAGGAGCCACCTTCCTATCTGCCCTTGGCTGTCCTTCTGCCAAAGAGTGGGTTTTGGTGATGTAGCCTTGCTCCGCCCCTTCCTGGTCTGCCCACCTCCATCTCCTGCTTCTGCCCACCACCTGCTTACTGAGCAAGGCCCTGACTCTATTCCTCATGCTCCAGTTCCTTGTCACTCACCCTTGTCAGGAGGCAGAGATGTGGGTTAGCTTTGCCCACTGCTGATTCCCCACACACTATTCTCTGGCACACAGCTGGAGAAGAAGGGCTGGTTGGGGAGTGCAGAAGGCATACATGCTCACCTGGACAAACCTCTCTTGGGCTTTTCCTGAGCTCTTCCCAGGGTTCCTGGCCTCGGTCCAGATGGGAGATCACACCTGGTTGGCGGGGTGGAGGCCCTGCTCCTGGGGAAAAAGCAGCAGGACTGGATGTGCTGTGGCTCTGCTTAGAAACCCCGAAGGACAGCCCAAGAACAGAGACAAGGCACTTAAGGGGTGTGTGTGTGTGTGTGCCATCACCAGGGACATGAGACCTGCGGGCCCCAAATCATTGAAGAGTCTCAGATGCAGACCCCTGCCACAGTGTGCACTTTCAAGTCCATACATGGCACCCGCCTTGGTCACCTGAAAAAGCTCTGAGGCAAATAGACTCTAAGGCTCCTAGCCCTCACCTTACCTCCCCAGCAGGCCTCTCTCTTACGTGGCCTGGCTCTGGGACCAGTCACAGCTCAAAGCCAGGATCCACCAGCATTGGTGCTAACGGGCTCTTCCCTAACACGGTGTGGGAAGAAGGCTGGCAGCAGCAGACATCCAGCTTTTGAGGAGCCAGCTTACCCAGAGCAAGAAGGTTCTGGTAGTTCTCCAGCATTACTTCCTTATACAGAGCCCTTTGAGGAGCGTCCAGCTGACCCCCACTCCTCCAGGGTGAAGTCTACAGCCACATCCTTGGAAGTCACCGGTTCCTGAAATGACACGTACACTCTCATTCACCTAGGGCAGGAATGTTTCTGTGTCCATTGTTCCAAGAGAGCCTAAGACTAGGAACCTGGTAGAGCCCCTGGTGAACAGCCGCTGACCTCAGGAGCAGAAAGCACTGTGCAAAGGCTGAGGGGTGGGCCAGAGAACGACACTCACCCTGGCAATTCCATGGCCCTGCAGCCTGTTCCGAGTGGTACATGTCTTAAGCGGAATGTTTTATTTCCCAGGGCCGAGTGTTACAAACTTAAAACTTGAAAGTTAGGGGATTTGGAGAGACGGGACAGTACTAGAGTGCTCTTTCAGAGGATTTGAACTCAGTTCCCAGCACCCGTGCTGGGTGGCTCACAAAGGCCAGTAACTCCAGCTCCAAGGAATCAGAGGGCCTCTCTGGCCTCCATGTGTGTCCCCCCAATACAACAAATAACAAGAAATCCTCTTTCTAATAAAAGATTTATTTATTATGTATACAGGGTTCTGCCTGCATGTATGTATTCCTGCAGACCAGAAGAGGGCGCCCGATCTCATTAAAGATGGTTGTGAGCCACCATGTGGGTGCTAGGAATTGAACTCAGGACCTCTGGAAGAGCTGCCAGTGTTCTTAACCTCTGAGCCATCTTGCTAGCTCCCAAATAAATCCTTTTTAAAAAATACCTTGAACAGCTGGGCACGGTGCTGCATGCCTTTGATCGCAGCACTTTTGTGAGTTCGAGGCCAGCCTGGTCTACAAAGTGAGTTCCAGGACTTATTAATAAGCCAAGGCTTATTACACAGAGAAACCTTGTCTCAGAAAACAAAAATCAAACCAAACAAAACCTTAAATATATGGTACAAAGAATACAGCAACTTTATTGAACATTTATCACTGCAACAAAATTCAACTCCAGGCTGCAAACGATTATTTCTAAGGAAGGAAACAATGTATCAGTAAATTCTATGCCCCAAGGCACCCTCGACTAGACTGCCACCTCATAAATCCCTACCAGCATTCCTGACACCACATCATCCCCAAATTACTTTCACCCTTTAGAGGAACAAACTGATGTCACATATTTTTAGTACTCCAGGGGAATCCCAGAAATATTTAAGGAATTCCAAAAAGGGCAACAATCACCAATGCAATTTGTAATGTCTGACATCCAATCAAGAAAAAAAAAAGAAAGAGAGAAAGAAAAGAAAACCAGAGGTGTCAAGGGAATATCAAAACAGTATTTGAAATGCGTGAACAAAAATGGCACGTGGTGTAGAGACAGCAATAGCAAGGCTACAAATAGAATCCCAACCACATTGCTAATGACATTCGATGTGAATGGTCCAAACACTCTAGTTAAAAGGTAGACTCTGGAACCATAGGGACAGCCTAGCTAAAATACAGCTATGTGAGCATGAAGACCTGAACCCACATAACAGCCGGTTGAGTGGTGCATGCTTATCCCGGCACTGGACGGTGAATGCCTGGGGCTTGCTGGCCAGTGAGGCCATCCTTCCCGGTGAGCTCCAGGCCAGTGAGACACTCTGTATCAAAGAACAAGGTGAACGGCTCCTGAGGAATGTCACCTCAGGTTGTCCTCTGGCCTCCACATGCAGGGAGGCTCCGGTGTACCTGCATGCACACCCACATGACCCCCACAAGGGGAGATGTCCGCAGACCAGACAACTTGAATCATGAGTGAGAAAGTGTCAAAGGTAAAAGTCCCCAAAAGGGAGGGTGCAGCCTACAGGGCAGGATATGCCTATGATCCAAGCTGCTTGGGAAGATGAGGCAGAAGGCCAGCAAGGTTGAGATCGACCTGGGCAACTTAGTGAGATCTTTTGCTAAAATTAAAAAAAGGAGTGAGGCCCTGGGCTAAACTTTAGTGCAGTGTGTAAGCTTTCATGTGTATGCACTGGGGAGGTTGATTTTGATTCGAGGATCGAATCATTCCAAGATATAACAAGGTGATGTTTCATCAATAACATCTGTATAAGAAGTAGACTACCACATTGAAGTAGCCTCTCTCTCTCTCTTTCCTCACACACACACACACACACACACACACACACACACACACACTACATACACACACAGAACACATGCAGACATTTCTTAGATAAAACACTTGAAGGTAAGCTGCAACATCATAACCTTTCACCCCACCTTTATCTCTTTATATAATCACAGAAATATTATCACATTCAAGAAATTTAATATTTGGTACTGTGGTATTAAATATATAACTCATTTCCAAATTTTCTCAGTTGTCCTAAATTGCCTTTTATCATTTGTTTTAGATCTGCTGTATGTGGTTATCATATCTTGAGTGTGTCTAACACATCTCAGCAGCTAGCCATATTTCACAACATGTGGGATTCATTTATTCATGAGCAACTGGGTCTCTTTATGATTGAACTCAAGATCCTTCCACCTCAGATCCCTGAACATACACCACTGTGTCCACCCATGTGTTCCACAGCTTTCAATAAAATCGATGTTATTTTGTCTGTAATCATACTTCACCTTTTTTTTTTTTTTTTTTTTTCCGACAGGGTTTCTCTGTGTAGTTTTGGTGCCTGTCCTGGATCTTGCTCTGTAGACCAGGCTGGCCTCAAACTCACAGAGATCTGCCTGGCTCTGCCTCCCGAGTGCTGGGATTAAAGGCATGCGCCACTACCGCCCGGCTCATATTTCACCTTTTTAAAGTGGAAGATGAACAGAGTCACAACACTGTAAAAAAGAAAAATCCAAAGGGCCTTCAGTCTGGTGCTCCCCCATATTCTCCTGTCAACTCTGCCTCTGTAAATACCACGGGAAGGAGTGGTCTCAGTGAGAGAATAAAGTCCAACAGCTGTGAAGGGGGGATCGACGTCCTACTTGGTTCCACTAGTGGCTGCAGGGCCAGTTCCTGAGCCTGCGTGTTCTCTAAATCTGCGGACTTTCCCATAAAAACACTATGCCGAGGCCTGATTCTGAGGAATACACACAGGGATGCTCTCCTACCATTGCCTTCCTGCTTTGGTTTTCAAGACAGGGTCTCTCTGCATAGCCCTGGCTGTCCTGGAACACACTCTGTAGACCAAGCTAGACTTGAATCCGCCTGCCTCTGCCTCCAGAGTGCAAGGATTAAAGGCGTGCCTGGCCCTATTATGCTGTGGATGATTGTTTGAGAAATAAAACACTGATGGGCCAGTAGCCAGGCAGGAAGTATAGGTGGGACTAACAGAGAGGAGAGAGCAAAAGGAGAGGAAGGCAGAGGGCAGGAGACACCAGCTGCCGTTCAGGGAGCATCATGTAGAGGCAACAGGTAAAGCCACGGAACACGTGGCAACATATAGATTAACAAAAATGGGCTTAGTATATGAGTAAGAGCTAGACAATGGTAGGCCTGAGCTAATGGCCGAGCAGTTTAAATAATATAAGCATCTGTGTGTTTATTTTATAAGTGGGCTCCAGGACTGGCCGGCCTTGGCGGGAGCTGGAGAGAAACTCTCCTCTCCAGCTACACTATTACCCTTTTAAATAAAAGTAAATATTTACTCTTTGTGAATGAGTGTTTTACCTGTGGGTATGTCTGCACAATGTGCATGCCTAGTGTCTGAGGAGGCCAGGAGAGAGCATTGAATTCCCTGTAATTGGAATTGGAGGTGGTGTGAGCCACCATGTTGGTGCTGGGGACCAAACCTGGGTCCTCTGCAAGAACAGCAAGTGTCCTTAACCACTGGACCATCTCTCCACCCCCACACGATCACTCTTATTTGAGGGCTCCCATATATCCTCGCCTGATCTACCCGGGGAAACTTCCCCAAACGTTCCTTGAGGTCTCTCCAGTCCTGGCCAGCATGTGGAGTTAGGCAAAATGACCTTGGAGGAAAACTGCTGCCAGCAGTTTCTGGCAGCTGAGCCACCTTCTAGACTGAGTCTGGCTGGAAGGGTCTCAGGTATCATCTGGACTCTAACTGGTACTGCTCTCACTATCCCAAGCTCCTTAAGGACTGGAAAGCAGGTTCCCAATCGCAGGTCTGTGGCTGAATGCAGACCCAGGGTTGGCAAGAAATGTGACCATCTTCTTTGTAGATGAAGAAAAGACAGCCACTCACCTCAGATCTGGCTTCCAGGGGTCCCCAGTCTGACTTAGCCTGGGGAGTCTCTTTGGGAGAAAGAGCAGGGTCCTGAGCTGGGGATGGAGAAATGGGTCAAGAAATGAATCAAGCCTACCCACACCCACCAGGCTCACAGCTGCACTAAGGCCCACTCACCCGTGGCACAGTCGGAGGTCGGAGAAGACGGGGCAGGTATAGTGTGGGAGAGGGCCTCATATCTGGCACAATCTAATACAGTCTCAGGGGTCGACATCGCCTCTCAGTGTCTCAAACATCTCAGTTACGGAGGGAAAACGTGGCCATTCCTCTCCCATCAGCATGTTTGATTGAGACAAGCAAGCCAGATGTGATGCTGTTTCGGGTGATCTGGCCTGATCTCTCTGAGAGGCATCCCCCTCAGGTGCAAATCCACCACTCTTTGAGATGAAGCGAAGGTGTACCTGCCTGCTCTGATTCCAGGGCCAGGGTCTCCATGGTGACCCCCAGAGTTGCCTGAAGGACTGAGCCGCTCTATAGCCACCTGATCAGGTCCTGCAGCCAGGATCCAGGGACGGCAGCCTGTAGGGCAGCCCATCGGTGACCCCTCTCCCGGGGTCAGGTCCAGCGGGGTGGAGTCTCCCCCACACTCGCCCACAGGCAGGGCCCGCTCTCGCCCTGTCGCGGTCACACGCCCGTCCTTACTCCCATCTCACTCTTCTTGGGGACAGGGTTAGGACTCCCGGGCCAGCGGGAGCGGAGCACAGCTGGCAGACAGACTCCGGGACACACATACAGACTGGCCAATGAATGCTCAGATGGCCCTTCAGCCGGAGAACCTGAACCCTGCACTGACCGATCGCCACAAACAGCAGCTTGACGAGCGCCTTGGGGAAATGCGCCTGCGCGGAGCGGGCGTGGACTACATTTCCCA